TTTGTTTTAATGTCGTAAATATGACGCTCAGATTAAGATTTATCAATATTGTAAATTTTAAAAAGCATTATTTATAAAGATATTACCGAATTTAACATTTCATGAAAATAAAGGGAGGTAATTAGAAATTAATTTTCTACAATTTCTCAGTCAAATTTTTCAATAAGAAATGAATGTATGTAATTTTAGTAATCAAATATAATGTGCACAAATGTTTGCAGTACATATTTTACAAATTATTTAATATCCAATGTGACCTCATCTTCTATTAAAAGTGAGGAAAGTAAAAAATATAAAATTGATTTTATCATCATATCTTTTTCTTACACATTAGTCACAACAGTGACGTCACGTCCGGTTGGACGTAAACAACTTTAAATCTGCGACGTAAAAAAAAGAAAAATAATTTATTTAAAGTATGAAAAACGTTAAATTCAAAAGAAAAAAACAATAGAAATGTGAGAAATTAAAAGACGATCATTTTCATGTAATTTTCATTAATTTTGATGAATGTTATGTGACAAAATTTTACAATAATGGATGATGAACATTTAGCGATTGAAACGATCATTAATAGAAATCATGGTAATGTGCGTGATAAAACAGCGAATTAAAAACCCTACATCTTAAATGAGAAAACAGCCATGAGAAAGAAAGCGACAGAGCGTGTTCAGAGACTGCTGGAGGAGTAAAAATAACAATACTGGTGCTTATGAATTTTTGAAGGCGGATGCAAAACATTTTTATGCGGAGAGTTCTTCACAAAATAACCGGAAGATAATTCCCGTGTATGACAAGAAAGATAGATTGGTAGAAACAAGATATAAAGTAGCAAACGGCAAGACACATCTTTATACATTTAATATGTATCATTCAAAGTGCACATGCCTTGTTAACGGAAAACAAACAAGGCACTTTCTTGAAACTGATCTACCGAAAATGTTGGATTATATTGAAGCCGGTCTTTTATCAAACGATTTATCCCTCTCAGAAGTAAATGAAAATATCAAACAATGGATATTAAACAATTTAAATTCTGAAGACAATTTGCAGAATGACGAAGCGCCCGAAACGGCTACAAATTTAAATATAATTTCGGAAGGGAACGTTAGTGATAATGAACTTGATACACAAGATAATACTAGTACTAATGAAGATGAAATCACTGAGGACAATGAAAATGTAAGTGAAAGACATGAATATTCTGAGTTAGTGATTTTGAAAGAAATTGTACTTGCATTACAAAGTAGTGTAAATGAATTACATCAGGAAGTATCTCAACACATTGGTTTTTCAAAGGAACAGTTCGTGCACATTAAAGATGAAATCATGAGTGTGAAGAAAAAGATATCTCTTGAATCCAGCTCGTTAATTAAACAAGTTGATGTGATCAATGAAGCGGCAAAATCCATCGAAACACAAGTGAAATCGGTAGATTATTCTATCCACAAAAAATTACAATCTATAACAGATATTCTTAAGATGAAGGTGTGCAGTTTTTTGGATTCGCAAGAAACGAATGTCTCTAAGGATGATATAAATCAAAATATCCACATTAGCGAAAAATCACCGAAACATGATGAAAAACATACGATGGAAGGAACAATACCGAAAACTATTCGATATACTCAAACTAATATTGCGGACAGTCATACTAAAAGTGTCACGAATAATACAGAGATGGTAAAACGACAACGTAGATCTTTTATAGATATATCAGACAGTACAGCACCAGAAAAACCTGTTTCAAGATCAATCCCGGAAACGCTTATAATAGGCGATTCAATTATAAAGGGAATAAATCAACGCGGGCTTCACACTTTTACAGAGACATACTGCATAAGAGGAGCTGTTGTGAGAGATATATCACATAAGTTGTGTAACTGGAATATATCTGGTTGCAAAAATGTAATCATTTCTGTAGGCGGAAATGACGTTGCTTCAAGCACACCAACAACTGTAAGTAGCATAGAATTAACAAAGACCATCAACTACTTATATCAACATGGCATTAACGTATATTTATGTACAATATGCCCGAGAATAGACGTCGATGTAACTCCGATGAACACTGCCATTAGAAAAATTTGTTATGAAACAGGTGCAACACTGATAGATTCATATAGTTCATTTGTGTATGGAGATGGAAATGTAGTGAAGCACATGTATCATCGTGATGGAATTCATCATAATACAAGAGGGTCTAGTGCGTTGGTAAGGTGTATTAACAAATCGCTGACTATTGTAAAGACGAAACAAGCAATGACTGGTAGATATCATACAGATACACAGAACACAAAACGTCAAGAACAACAGAAAAATGGATATTGGCAATTCCGAACAGAACCTAAAATCTTTGGATCTCTGTGTAAAATATGTGGTAGGAACAATCATAAAACTGTTGACTGTAGATACCGTGAATGGTAGGAAAAAGCAGACAGGCACGTGTTTATTAATCAATTTGATACAGATAGCCTATTTATAAATCTTTGTAGCAAATGCAATTTAGAGCAATGTAAATGCGATTGCCTATCAGTTAAAACACTAAATACTACTGATAATGATATTTATTATAGTAATATATGTAACAAATTTGTTATCGAACAGAGCAATTCCGATTCCGTTTCGGTAAATTCAAAAAGTACTTATGATTATTACAACTTTGTAAACAATTGTAATTCGGAACAATTATCCTCTGAACTAAGATATATTTTTGCATATACATGTAAAAGATTAAATAATTTAGGATCTACTATTTATAGTAAGTTAAGCAGCTGTAATCATTTAAACAAACTATCTAGCATTAATAACAACTCAAGAACCTCTGATGGGATTTCTAATATAATGTTAAGTAAAAATGACCATTGCGATAATTCGTATATTGATAACGAAAGAGTCAAATTTAAACAAAAGGGTTTTCATGTCATGAATTTAAATGTACAGCATTTACTCCCAAAATTCGATGAAATTCGAATAATTCTAAACGAATTTAAAGCGCATGTATTTGGATTTTGAACTATAAATGTATCTGATAAAGACATTGAAATATCAAGCTACGTTTTTGAGAGAAAAGACAGAGTTGGTAAAAGGAGGGGTATACTTGATTATGTAAAAGACAGCGTCCCTTATAAACGAAGATATAATTTAGAAACAGCTGAAAATTGAATCGATATGGATAGAAATTAATTTTGTGAAATGTCAACCATTTATCTTAAACTTTGTATATAGACCCCCTGATTCAAAGCAGGTTTGGGCTGACCTGTATGAAAAACATCTTGAAATGGCTGATCAGATGAATTTAGAAATGCACATTCTAGGTGATTTTAATATACAATATAGTTCAGAAGAAGGGTTTTTAAACAATAAATGGGCATCACTTTTACTGAAATACGATCTTAGGCAAATCATTAATAAACCTACAAGAGTGACAAAAAACAGTTCATCAATAATTGATCACATTTACACAAATAATCTTGATAAAATTAATGAAAACTTCGTATCACAAATTTGTGTCAGTGACCATTATTTAATATGTTTCACTAGAGGAAATACTAGCACACATGCAGGTAATCACAAAACTATAAAATATAGAAGTTTTGCTAAATTTGATACAGAATCGTTTCAACGTGATCTAATTGATTCTAATTTTGATTGTATAGAGCAATTTAATGATCCAAATTAAGCTATAGAATTGTTTTATAACATGATAAATAATATTCTAGTGAAGCATGCACCATTTAAAATTAAACGTATAAAAAGGGACACACAGCCACATTGGTACGATGAAGAAATTAAAAATGCACGCTTGAAAAGAGATAATTATAAAAAATCTAATCAGTGGGATTCATATAAACTGTGGCGGAATAAAACAAATAATTTAATTAAACAACACAAAAGAAATTACTTCAATAATGCCGTCAAGGATAAGAAAGACCCGAGTACGCTTTGGAAAAATATTAAAGATATTACTAACGATAATGGTACTAACGGGAATATCAGATTGCCTAATTCCATAACAATAGATGGTAATATAATAACTGGGGAAAATAATATTTTAAATGCAATCAATGATCATTTTATCAATATTTCTGATTTCCTAAACAAATCCAAATTCAAAACAGAAAATTTCAAATCACTTGAAGAACAACTGAACAAAAAACTTCAAGGGCATACTTTTATTATTGATGAAATCAGCCCATTCCAAGTAAAACTACTTATTGATAAACTAAATGTAAACAAGTCAACAGGAAATGATGGAATTGGGCCGCGTATTCTTAAAGCCTGTGGTGACTATTTAAGCATAGCTATAGCTTCTATAATAAATAATTCCATTAGAAATGGCATTTTTCCTGATAAACTTAAAGAAGCATATGTACTTCCAATTTACAAAAATGGACCAAAAGAAGATCCAAATAATTATAGACCTATTTCAATTTTGCCAACCATATCAAAAATTTTTGAAAAGCATATTGCATCACAATTACACAGTTATATATACGAAACTAATATTATTCATGAAAGTCAGTCGGGTTTCAGAAAAAAACATTCTTGTCAAACAGCTCTAATACGACTCATAGAATCCTTCCTTAACGATTTAGATGAGGGCTGTTTGATAGGCACAGTATTTTTAGACCTAAAGAAGGCATTTGATTTGGTAGATCACAACATATTGTTGCATAAGTTAAAATTGTACAAATTTTCAAACACCTCAATTAAACTCTTCAAATCATATCTTGAAAATAGAACACAGTTTATCAAATATGGAAATAGTCATTCAAATAGTGGAACAGTGAAATCAGGGGTCCCTCAAGGGTCTATATTAGGCCCTTTACTTTTCATTTTCTACGTTAATGATATGCCATTTAGTACAACACACTCTAACATAGACATGTATGCTGACGATACAACTATGCATGCATCAAATAAAAAAATTGAAGTGATTCAGAGAACTCTGCAATGTGATGTTGATAATATAAGCAAATGGTGTAAATTAAACAACATGGCAATAAATCCAAAAAAGACCACTTGTATGATAATAGGGTCAGAAAATAAATTAAAATCAAAACCTTCTTTAGATATAAATATAGAAGGTACATGCCTAAGTCAAACGAAATCACAGAAATTATTAGGTATTTACTTAGATGAAAACTTAAAATGGAATGTTCAAATAAAGCACGTCTGTAATAAATTACAAAAACAAATTGCTCTCTTAAAGCGTATATCGTACTTTTTATCCGCTGAAATGAAAGAAATGTTTTACAATGCTTATATTTTACCTTGTTTTGATTATTGTTGTATTATATGGAGTACTTGTAATAAAACTGAATTTGAAAAAGTGAATAAACTGCAGAAACGCGCAGCAAAGATAATATTGTGTAAACCAGTTAAAACGCCTTCTTTACAGCTTTTCCTTAAATTAAACTGGTTAACTTTCGAAAATAGATGCACGTATCATACAGCATTATTAGTATTTAAATCTATACAAGGATTGACTCCTTCCTACATTTCAGATATCATAGTGTTTTCGAAAAATCAAACGTATACACTTAGATCAACTACAAATAGAAACATAATACATGTAAGATCTAATACGAAATATGTTAAAAGAACTTTTAGAAATAATGCAATGCAAGTATGGAATAATTTACCTTTATATATTAAAGAGTCTTCGTCTCTATATGCTTTTAAAAGAAATATGAAAAAATATTTGATTGATATACAATTTAAATGAATCTGATGTATGCATGTGTCTGTCAATTTGAATGGTTGTTGTTTATGTTGTTTTTAATATGTGTGTACATATTTGTGACTTTCATTATCTTGTTTAATTGAAGGCCATATTGTAAATAAGATTTGTATTTCTTAATATGTTACCTTCATGAAATAAAGTGTTTATTATTATTATTATTATTATTATTATTAACAAATCTACCTGAAAATATATAAACACATATTTAGAGAAAGCTTATAAATAGCTGATCAATAGATATCAAAAATAATTTTTTTTATTCATATTTGCAGCTCAAAAACATTTAGATGCCATTGCCAGATCTACTATTAATTTATCTACTATTAATAAATACTACTTATAATTTATCTACTATTAATTAATAAACTGGAGAAATATTATATGTGATGTTAATTGGGGGATATTATAATTAAAGGATGTATAGCCATGCATGTTAATGCATACACATTGGGTTGTTTCCAATTTCTCCCTAATTTTCGCGAGGAAGTCACTTCTCCCTAAAATTTCCCCCCAGGATGAGCCCTGTATACAATGTACATGTATGTGCCAAAACAACATTCCATGTAAATTTCTTTTTCTTTTTTAATTTCTTATCCACGCAGGCCCATAATTCTGGATTGTTTACTCCAAAAAGCTTTCTGAAGATGTTTTTTAGAAAGAAAAAGACACACACAAACGTAGCTATGAAAATTGTTTTAAAATGACTGTGGTAGGGTAGCAGAGAAAAAATACTCGGAAATTTATTTCATGAAACAGGTGCCCGCTTCATTTTGTTGTTGTTGTTGTTTTTTTGCAAAAGACTTTCATAATGTTGGTATACAGTAAAGATTTATTCCATACATTTCAGACTGTCTAAGAAATTATTTTCTTTTATAAAATTAATGCATGGCGAGGTGCGATTTGAAGAATCAACGCGGTTATTTAACAAAACAAAATGCTGCGCCGCTAATTTCTTTCACGAACACTTGGGGATGTGGAGCTCAAAACGCCTTTAAAATCAAAATAAAATGAATATTTGTCAATACCAGCACATGAACTGATCATATATATCAAAAAACTTAATATAAGCCGTTTTTCAAAAAAGATATATTTCAACGTCTAAAATAATACACAAGATAAAAATGTTCGCCGGAAAAAATCCGCACACCTGCCGTCAAAAACACTATATGTATTTTATTCTGTCTCCAATATTTTCACAAAATCCTTTGGCTTATTCTTCACGATGATGGTCATTTTTAAACTTCAATGTTAATATAAACAACGCAACAGGCAAAATAAACATCGAGATTATCGCCGCTTTAGTCCATTTACAAAATCTTTCGACAAATTCAAACAGAGCTCCCCAGCTTTGACAAATACACATTTTATTTGGATTTTAAAGGCGTTTTGAGCTTCACAACCCAAGGGTCTGTGATTTCTTTCATTCTTGTCCAATCTTATAAGATTTAAGGGTTATGCAACACGTTTACTCATTTTAAACAATAATATGATACAGATTGTTACTGCCCCAAACATGCTTTGGAAAACGAACTAAAAAAATCGGTAAGAAATCACGGCGCCTCTTCAGTTCTTTTTTTCTGTATTTTTTTGAGTTTTTGATATAGAACGAAAATTATGATTTTAACCTTCTAGTAAATTTAGATAGAAAACCAGAAAAAAGTTCCTAATAATTAAATGTTACAACTCGAAACTTAAAAGTTGGCATATCTTGCGTAAAATGGTAAGCCGGGAAAATGTACTGAGGAAAGTGGGGACCGTAACACATTTAAATTCTTACCACCCGCCCGTTTAAACAACTTACATAAATGTATAATAGAAAGAAATTTAAGCATAAGATTATAGTCTTTAAAATAAATCATCAAGTATATTTATAATTATAAAGTGAAAAATAAATACATGCAATACAATCTAAAAATAACTTCTTTTCAATTTGGACTGTGTCAGCATGGAAAATTGTTTAACTGATTCCGGAAAGGAATCACAGCTCGAATATGAATACTAATCTATATAAATCAAATTTATTTATTCAAAACTTAATCTTATAAACTTTAAGTTGACACAAAGAAATTAATTAAGGAAGAAACAGGACTGTGCATCAATTATTAATAGTGTCAACATTTCCGAAGTGTATATTGGCCAGCGTACCGGTGTCGGTGTTGTGAAATAGTTGACACATTTTAAAAATAAATATTAGGTTGAATATATTTTCTATACCGGGACAAAAACATTTCTGGAACATCGCTTAAACAATACCAAATATCCAAGCCATTACGGCATGCTATGATAACACGGATAAACGGTACATGTACACAGGTTTTTCAGATACAAACGAAAAATGGGCGCTCGAGTAACGAGTTTTACTTTTCTGAAAACTGTTGAGGAATGAAAATTAACGCAAGAATTTACCATTTGAATTCAAAAAACTTTCATAGCGGAATGCACATTTAAAAAACCAAACTTTTCTATAGGCAAGGAGTTGCTGTTTTTAATACACAGCAAGTTGTGTCTAACATAAATATACTACCATAGATAATACTACAGAGTGGTGACAATATTAATTTTAATGAAATACAGTATTTTGTTTATCCTTTAATAAATATGTTTATAAAAAAAGAGGACTAAATTAAAAGTTTCCCCGCATCATTTAAAAGATTTCAATCAATCAGAAAAATATTTAAAGATAATTTCCTGGCGATTTATTTTAATGCAGCAATACATGTAATTAATAATAACAACATTACAGAAAAATTACCACTGTTTTATTGTTTTACATATTTTTTTTAGCCACGAAAAAAAAAAGACAACATTCACGCACGGTACCGAACAATATCGATTTTTAGCATACATGTTACATTACTGTACAGGCTGTCCAGCGTCCCTAAAATTCCTAAAAAATCCTATTTTTTTTCAATTTGGCTAAAATTCCTAAAAAAATGAAAAATTCAAAGGGAGTTCCTAAAAAAGCCCTATTTTTTCACTGAAATTCCTATTTTTTTATCTTTTGTGATAAACATATCGTGAAACAACCATGTTTCAATCACAACCTAAATTCAAACAGTCAGTGGAGCTAATGTCATGTCTGACTTAAATTGCATAAATTCACATGTTGTATTTACTTCAACTCCTGCAGAAATGTACTTGATAAATTGTCAGATGTTATCAGAAAAATAATATGAAACTGTTTGTTTTAAATTGAACAATGAAAATTGTCCGACTTTGACCATATCAAAATTGTCACCTGTTTATAAAATTTTGATGAAAAAAAAATTCCAAGGAAGTTACATTTTTATTGGCTACAGAGTTTTACCATTTACCTCAGTCTTAGGTGTATTCAAAGCAACTATTTACATGATGAACCACTAAATTTCATCAAACTTTATGTAGGGGTCCTTATTAATAAAATCTTAATTTGTAATCAAGTTATTTTCAAGTGATGACTGTAGAACAGATCTTTTGTAAGTGATACCAGCTGGCAGATCTAGACAAGTTTCAATATTTGCTAATTATAAAGTGGGTAAGGTAAACTGTGGCAGTAATGATTGGATGCTTTAACCATTTTGCTACCCAATCAGGGTACTAAGAAGTGACACCTTCAGCTGCCCTTTTTATACACATTTAATAACAATAATACTGAACATATGTTATAACATACAGTGTAAGTTTTTTAAAATCTGGAAAAAAAACTGTTGAAAATCATTGAAAGAACTGACACTGTTGTGAAATTTTCTACAATTTTTAGTTGCCTGATTTATCTTGAACAAATTCTCCATAGGAATATATACCCTGCTGTTTGAATTTAAGTTTAAATATTCCTGGGAATGACTTGAGTGGTTTGTATCATTTTTATTGTTTTTTAAGAAAGATCAAGACTTGTTGAAAATGTACCTACCTTAAAATGAATAAATGTTGATAAGAAATGCATTTATAGCTTAAATAAATTTAAAGCATAATTCCGCCTTCCATTTATTATTGGCTAATCATACTCACTGCTTAACTAATTGAATATAAGTTGTTCTGGGAAACTTATAACTTTGAAAATGTTTTCATTCTAGTTATGTTTTAATGTAGTTTTTCAGCTCTTTTTAAAGGCAGTTGACCAGTGAATCCATTTCTTCACTGGTGACTATGGAACACTGCATGGTAACACCTTTGCTATAACCGAACTAGAGCATTATTTGTGAGTTACTTTTGTGTCAAATATGCAAAGATGAGCCCATATCATTGTCTTTTGGGGCCATAATTTAGATATTAAATTATATTCAAATTTTAGCCCTAAAATTTCTTTTATTTACCCTAAAATTCCTAATTTTAGCCCTAAATTTTCTTAAAAATTGCCCTAAAATTTGCCCTAATTTTTTGTCAGAAGGTGCTGGACAGCCTGTACTGTAGCAACATCACAATATGGCGGCGTTAGTACACAAATGAGACGGTGAAATGAAACTAACATGGTTAACTTTCTTCTAAGTTGATAGTCTGGCACTTTTTGTGCCGTTATTTCCTTAAAATTGTATTGTTGAATAAATTCTTAGTTTAAATTGTCTGCATTTTCACATTTACATCGAAATCCACGTTTCACCACAGAAAGGTCTCCTTTTGGTTTTGACGTAAATGCGAGATTCTGCCCCAGAACGAAAATATCTCAGAATCAAGCTTTGGCACGTCAATATATTTTGACTAGCCGTACGGGCCTGTACGGCTAGCCAAAAGTTCTAGCCGTACGTGAGTCACGTACGACTAGCCAGGACACACTGTATTGGCTAGCCGTACGGCACTTTTAAAAAATATATGGAAGGCGAAAGTGCATATGCTAATTATGACTTTAAGCGAGGATTTTAGTCAAGATTGTTTACTTTTTAGAGATTAATCGACGTGTTGGCTACAGTAAAGAATGTACTTTGTCATCTCAAGACGTCGAGAAAAAATAGCGTTTGGTTGCAGTTAAATAACATCAATTGAAATAGTTTACAAAATTTTGATAATAACCCTTTTTTGTTTCATTAAGTTTAATTTTTAAATTAAAAAAAAAACAAAAACAAAAACAAAAAAAAACACCGAAAATAATTGTTGTTAGGCTCTGATAATAGAAGTTTGTCCATCGTCCATCATTAAGGAAAGTTTGCATTATTATATTATTTCTCCTTTTCACCGTTTTTTT